GACATAGTACAGTTTGTTCACTAGGCCTGTCTCCCTAGCTAAACTGAGTTCCCTAGCAAGACCTCGCTTATCATTCATCTTTTTATCTCCCTAGTGCCCTGCACATGGCAGGTGCTCAAACATGATATCAGACAGCATGCTGAATATATACAACTGTTCTTGTTATTTTATTAAAAGTTCTAGGGCAACTTAACCTCACGAAGTTTAGTATCTTAACCATATCGGACTACTTGCTATTCCCTTTCATCGACTTTTGCTGCCACTGTGCTTATTTGTTTTATTGCCAAAGGCGTGAAGAGTGTCTTTCATCACTATGACTGAAATTCCATCCGTTCTTTAAGGCTCCTCTCAAATGTCATTTTCCGCATGAGATTTTCCCATGTGGCATGTCATGGGAGTAGTGACTGATTTGTTACATTTGAGAATAATTTCCAGAGCCTAGCAAAGTGCCTTATGCGCTTAAAATATAACATTTACTTAATAGCACTGGAATAATACCTTAAATGTAAAGAAGTTCTACTCAAGAAAGACCTAGAATATATTCTACCTGTTTTCCTTACCTCTGAAAGGAAAGCAACAAAACCCAAAATATCTGTTGACTCTTAAGCGGAAAAATCAGTGGGTCTATCAGACCAGATATCACCATGAGTAACAAGAACAGGCAGGGCTCTAAAAGTCAGAGTTTTAAATTCTGGCCAATAACTGCGTACTCTGAGGCAATTTACTCAAACTTTCTGAGCCTTAATTTAACCTCATCTGTAAAATGAGGTTGATGACACTTACCTTGCAAGACAGTAAAGACTAAACAAAATTACATCCCTGAAGTGTGCAGCAGTCAGCAAATGATCAGTAATCAGTAGCTATTTTTAGTGTTTGGGGCACTAAGTTCAGCTCTATGATAATGATAGTATTTGTAAAAAAAAAAAAAAAAAAGAATCCTAGAAGAGAGGGGTTTGACAATGGTCTTATTTGAACTCTCTACTGGATGCAAAAATTCCCTCAATAAATCTAGTTCCTTCTTTACCTGAATAGGTGCATCAATGACTATAGCTACTTAGTTTTCTAAAGCACTTGGCTTGATAATCCAAACTGTATAAAATTTTGTTACTGAGGGCTTTGTAAAGAGGCTGAAATTCATTAGATCGTTAAGTTTATGTATTGTAAATTACAATTTTCATTATAACTTTATAAGCCCCAGCTTTTTAAAATGAAAATAGTTGACTTAGAAGTATTTCTGCCTTAGAACAGAAGCCATACTTCCTAAGTAACTCTGTTGCTGAACCACCTATAGAGCCAATTTTTTAGATCCATCCAAAAATGGCAGATTACACACAACTATTGGTAAACATTCTTCAAACTAATACCTAGAGGCCAGGAAATCTTAAATAATAATATCCATCCTAAAAGAAGACAATTTCTACATGGATATTACTTAACAAGGGCCTTAATTTCTAAAGAAATTATGACCTAAAATTTATGACACATCCTTAAGTAGTTGTAACGTACAAAAACCTGAAGCCATCACCCACAGCCGTGAATTCCCATAAAGGACACACAGTTCTTGAAACACACCTGCCCCCGCATCTGCTTCAGCTTGAGCATTCTCTTACTCTCTGATAAAAATCCTTCCTTGGTCGTTACTCCCAACTGCTTTGAAGAGAAAGAGATGCAACATGCCCGTATCCCATAAGGCCCAGATGAGGAGCAGCTTACAACACGCAAGCTGCATGGGCTTTGTCACAACATGGAACTCAAAAAACTCTAGGAAATTGCTTTAGCTACAAGATAGACCTCGGACTGTTCTTTGAGAAACATGTGTGGCATCCACAGTGGCAGGGATTTCAGAGTCCCAGCTAAGAGGTCTCTCCTAAGACTCAATCAACCTCTGCCTTGGTTTTCTCATAGAAAATGGGACTTACAAACATGCACGTGATGAGAATTAAATAATGCATGTGAAAGCACTTGTGTAACTGGACACGTATGACGTACTCATTCAGCAGAGAATTCTTATCTTCTGTCCCATAAGAAAATTCAACTGCAGTATATAATAAGAGAGAAAAGATATGCTTTTGGCTTTAAAACCTTTTTTAAAGATAAAATTTGTAAATACATCAAAAAATGTTAAAGTTGAGGACTAGGTGAGATTACATGTAAAGCAAATCACTCAATATGAAATTACTATAATTTTAAATTTCTAGAAACATCTTTTTGTTTCTGTACTCTCAAACTCAAGGGAAATCAACATTATGAAAAAATGATCAGAACCCAAGGTCATGTCTCCTGCACCTGTGATCATTTATGTGGTTTACCCTGCACATATCCTGCCTCAAAGAAAGGCAAACAAGCTTATGAACAAGCTTAGCTTCAAGGAACAAAAGGAAATTTTACACTATATATTTACCCACATTTCGGTTGCTATGGGCTCTGTTGGAGACATGAAGGAATGTGACATGACATTTCTGAAAATAATCAACATCACATCCTGTCATTATTATAGAACGAATATGGACCATTTCAAAAATCCTCTTCAACCATTTCACTGAAAGCTTTAATTTTCTGGAAGATAATGGTAACTCCTGAAAGAACTCAATTTCTTTGTTTGAACAGTTAGCTCTTCACGTTCCAACATTTTTTACTAAATGAAAGGCCACAGAATATAATGTGCCAGGAAAACCTTAAAGACCTATTCATCATTAAAATGTAACATAGGTATTATTTTATAAGTTCTCTATCAAAAGGAGATCAGTTATAAAGAAATGCAACCACAGTTTATAATTGTAAAAAGAGACAACTTTATTACTACAGAAAGGATTTTGAATAAACACTCAATTATGGCAGAACCATAATATACAGGCCAAATTTACAAACTTTGAAGAAAGAGTGCTTATTAACACAAAACAGAACTTTTGTTCTAAACAGTTCCTGTATCTTTTGCAATGAGATTTCATCACTTTTGCCACAGAGAGAAGCATGAAGTTGTGCAGGTTTTCTTATTTTTGCTTTCTGGTTACATGTAAAATAACATTTATTGTTACACAATGAAGTACATTTATTGAGTCCTTCCCCTAAGGCAGGCACAGCCTTAGTGCTATAAACCTCTGTTCTATTTCATTCTCTCCATAACTCTCAGTCAATAAACGGTTAGGTAACTTGCCCCAGTATACACAACTGGTAAGTAAAAGGCTAAGATCCAACCACAGACTGTCAGCCTGCAAAGCCCATGTTCTTCACCACTGCCTTAAACCTCCCTGTGACCTCCCCCCCCCAAAAAAAAAGAAAAAGAAGGGGGGGACCAAATTTTTTTTTTCAATTTTAGGCTTTTATATCAAGTACCTATCTAACTGCATTGTTCTGCTGCTTCGAAAGTTATTACTTTTGTAAAGAAATTGACATAAGCAAATACATATAGAAGATAAACACCTACAGAGAAGTGAATTCTGCGATACAGATAAAAACAAGAGTTGAGAGGAACATTCCTGGAGGAATCAGTATCAACACCTGGGAGGGTGCAAACCAATTTTGTTTTGAGCTTAAATCATTTATTATAAACTCTACAAGACAGTGCTTGCCGCCTGAAGATCCTTCGGTTTTGTAATACCAGTTTTCCTTTTGTGGAATGAAGCCAGGCAAGCAAATAATGGAAAGTCGCAGTTTGCCTTTTTCAAGACATCAGGGCTACTTCAGAATGTCTGGAATTTTGATGAATTAGAATACCGAGCCGAGTAGCTCTCCAGGTCTTCCTGGTCACATCTGAAGGGTGCACACCTCCAGTTAATTAGTGCCTGCCGTCGTCAAGCATCATACCTTGCGCTGAAAGTTGTTTTTCCTTTTGTTAACATTTGGAGGAAGTATGGCATTTTTAAGGCAGGATCCCCTCCCAACAAACAAAACCCAAAAACGCAACCAACCAACCTATTTCTAAAAGCTACCTTACTTAACATTCCTCAAGGAGCCCATTTTCAATATTGTTTGTAACCAACGTTACAAGCCTCTCCTTTTCCAAGACCCCAGATGAAGGCTGTTACGAGTGTCGGGCCCTTTCCGCATCACAACTTGGTGCCGTTTTGCAACGTTACTAATACTGTTTGCTGGATGCTCCGCGCCAGAACCTGCAGCGCGCGCTTTACAGGCATCTGCACGACCCCCAGGAGTTAGGTGCTGTCGTTACGGGGCTTCATGGGTGAGACACAGGAGGCGGGGGGGGGGGGGGGTCTAAGTCACCCCCTCAGGGCACACGTACCTAGCAGGCCGGGACCCCAGCTCGGGTCTGACTCCAAACCGACGCTTTGGACAACTTCTCCAAAGTGTCCGAAGCCAGTCCTCAGGCCCCGGCCACTAGGCCATCCCTCATCAACACACACAAAAACGGTTCCAAACTGGCTTCGCCTTTTACAACGTCGAAAGGGCCGAAATCAAGGGTGGCGGGTGGGGGGGAGGGGGGAGAAGGCAGGGGCCGGCTCACCGCGGAGGAGAAAACGCGACGCAAGGGGACTTAAAGCCACAGGGGCCCCAAGATTCTAGAAGGAACGCAGCACGAAACCACGGCCCCGACACTGAAGCCCGCCCGCGGCGGCGAAGCTCCCACAGCCCCGACTCCGAGGCGGCGGCCCCGTCCGAGGCGACCGGTTCTCACAGCCGCGCGAGGGCACGGACGACACGCGCGAGTCCGACGGCGAATTCCCCTCAGACTCGCGGGGTCCGGGAGAGGCCGGCGGCGCCCCCCGCGCCCCCACGCCCCAGACGCCGAGAGGGCCCGCGGGCAGGCGGGGCGACCGTCGCGGCGGCCCCGCCGCGGGACCCCGCCTCACCCCCGCTCCCAAGCGGACGCCGCACGGTCGCGGGGCGCCACGCGGGCGTCGGGGACCAGCCGAGGGCTGGCTGGTGCCACCCGGCCGCCCCGGTACCGCCGCCCGCACCCGAGTCCGGGCCAAGTCCCGGCGCCGCCGCCCCCACCGCGCCCGCCGGCGTTCCTCGGCCCGCCCGGCCCCCGCCGCCCTCACCTGCCCAGCTCCCGGCCGGGGCTCAGGCTGTAGCCGTCCTGGAAGGGCTCGGTGCGCACGGCGCTTCGGATCTCCGTCAGCAGCCCGCGGGCTTCGGGTGGGGGAGGCTGCCGGCGCGGCGCGCCCAGACTCCGGCCCGCCCGGCCCGCCCCTGAGGCGGCCGCCGAGGGGGAGCCGCGGCCGCCCGGCTTCTCCAGGGGGATCATGGTGCGTCCGCGCGCGTCCTTTCCGGCCGCCCCGCTCGCTCGCAGGCGCCGCGCGGGTAACGGTCCCACCTGCAGCTGCCTCGCGCCCGCCCGCAAACCCTCCCGGAACCCGCTCTCCCCCCTCGGCGCGCTTCAACTACGGCCGGCCGACTCCCGGCGCCCCGCCCCACGCCCCGCCCCGCCCCCTGGCCCTACCCCGCCCCGCCCCCTCGCGGAGCTCGCCGGTCTTCCGGAGCGCCGGGCACCTCACGCGCGCCCTCTGCAGCCCAGACAGAGAAGGCGCAGCCTGGGGCCCGCCCTGGCCTCGGGGAGGAAACAGCACCACCCTTCCGGCCCGGAGGGCCCGCTGCCTCGGTCACTTACACACCTGTTGAGAACCTGAGTGTTCGAGACCCGGTCCCTCCTCCGTGGAAGGCAGTCGGGTTGCCCGCTGGAGCTTTCCTTTGGGCAAGTGAGGAACGGTGATGAGCCTCTGATCTCAGCAGCTGTGCCACACGTGGGAGTTGCCCGGGCACCTGGTTCCTTCGTACCCTAGGAGGAAATCTGGAAACACGAGTTGGGATAAATATTATTAAGCCCTCACACTAGCGCTGTGCAGTGGACACCGTTAAACTGTCTGTAGTTACTTGGTTTTTAACGTGGTGCTCTCATCTGGTCTTTAAAACATATATATTAGGTCGTTTTTGTTGTTTTTAAATTTTTTAAATATTTATTTATTTTTGAGAGAGAGAGAGAGAGAGACAGCGTGAGCAGGGGAGGGTCAGAGAGAGAGGGAGTCACAGAATCTGAAGCAGCTCCAGGCTCTGAGCTGTCAGCACAGAGCCCGACGCGGGGCTCAAACTCAGGAAATATGAGGTCATCACCTGAGCCTAAGTAGGAAGTTTAACCTTTTTTAAAATAAACTTTATTTTTTAGAGAAGTTTTAGTTTCACAGCAAAACTAAGTGAAAGGTACAGAGATATCTCACATATCATCTCCCCCCACCCCTTCATCTGGTCTTTTTAAAAATTGAATTATAATTGACATGCAATATTGTATTAGTTTCAGGTGTACAAGATAGTAACTATATTTTTACACGTTATGAAATGATCACCACCATAGGTCTAGTTGTCGTCCACCGCTATACAAAGTTATTACAATACTATTCACTATATTCCCTATGTTGTACATTACATCCTCATGACTAATTTATTCTGTAACCAGAAATTAGTACCCCTTAATCCCCTACACTTACTTTTCCCATCCCCCACCTGCCTCCCCTCTGGCAACCACCTGGGGAGTTTGTTCTCTGTATCTCTACTTCTTTTTTTTTTTTTTAATGTTTTATTTATTTCTAGGAGAGAGGGAGACAACGTGAACAGGGGAGGGTCAGACAGAGAGGGAGTCACAGACTCTGAAACAGGCTCCAGGCTCCGAGCTGGCAGTCAGCACAGAGCCCGACGCGGGGCTCGAACCCACGAACCGCGAGATCATGACCTAAGCGAAAGTCGGACGCTTAACCGACTAAGCCACCCAGGCGCCCCTGTACCTCTACTTCTATTTCTGTTTTGCTTTGTTGTTATTTTTTTTCAGATTCTATATATAAGTGAAATTATGTGGTATTTGTCTTTACTTGGTCTATTTCACTTAACATAATACCCTCTAAATCTATCCATGTTACTGAAAGGGCAAGATTTCATTCTTAGGGATGAGTAATGTTACATCTATCTATCTATCTATCCATCTATCTATCTATCTATTTATCTATCGATCGATAGTTATAGATATAAATACAGATAAAATCTCCTGAATCAGTGTTTTTTATTTTTGATGACACATTTTACATCTTTTTATTTTATGTATCCTTCAACTAATGTAACTGATTTTGCTACTTTTGTCTTTTACCCTTCGTCCCTGCTTTATTAGTGATTGATAAACTACCTTTATTCTTTATTACCTTTTCCAATCAGATTTTTATATTCGTATCTTATTATTATTTAGTATCTTTTCTTTTTAGCTTAAAGAAGTCCCTTTAACATTTCTTGTAAAGCCACTTTAATCATGATGAACTTTTACTTATCCAGAAAACTCTTAATACCTCCTTCAATTCTGAATGATAATGTTGCTGGGTTGAGAGTATTTTTGGGGCACTTTTTCCTTTCAACACTTTGAATATGTCATGCCACTCCCTTCCAGCCTGTAAAGTTTCTGCTAGAAATCTGCTGATAGCTTTATGGGATTTCCTTACTACGTTCGTAATATGTTGCCTTTCTCTTCCTGCTTTTAAAATTCTGTCTTTAACTTTTACCATTTTAATTACAATGTATCTTAATGTGTTTCTCTCTCTGTTCCTCTTATTTGCAACTCTCTGGGCTTCCTGGAGTGGGATGTCTGTTTCCTTCCCCAGGTTAAGGAGGTTTTCAGCCATTATTTCTTCAAATAATTTTTCTGGTGCTTTCTCTCCCTCCTCCTCCTGGGCCCCTAACAGTGCAAATATTTTTACACGTGATATTGCTCCAGAGATTCCTTAATGTATTGCTACTTCTTTTAGTTCTTTTTTTCATATTGTTGCTCTGTCTAGGTGTTGCCCCATCGCTTTATCTTCCAGTTCACTGATACATGCTTCCATTTTGTCCATTCTGCTGTTGAATTTGTCTCGTGTATTTTCCAGTTCGTTTATAATTTCCATTTGGTACTTTCTTATATGTTTTATCACTTTGTTCAAGTTCTTGCTATGTTCATCCATTCTTCTCTGAAGACCATTGAACACCTTTCTGGCCATTGCCTTCAACCCTCTATCAGGTAAGGTTGCTTATCTCTCTTGCATTAAGGTCTTTTTTCTGGGAATTTGCCTTGTTCTTTGGCTTGGAATATATTTTCGTATCTCCTCATTTTGTCTGTCTCTCTGTGTTTGTCTGTATGTATTAGGCAAAAAGGCTACCTCCTTCAGTCTTGAGGGAGTGGTCTTATGTAGGAGATGTTTTGTGTGGCCCACCAGTGGAATCGCTCCTGGCCACCAGCACCAGGCGCTCTATGGATGTCTCTTTTGTGGGCTGTGTGTGCCCACTGGCTGTTACAGGGCCATGAGTGCTGCACAGGGAGGGCAGGGCTCGTGGTAGTCACCGGGCCCCGTTGCGGCTCAGCCACTGCACGGAGAGAGCAGAGTTTGAGACACTTGCATTTCCTACTTTCCACTCATTCTGGAAATGAATCTTATCTGGAATCTTATTCTGGAATCTCTTATCTGGATTATTGTAATAGTTTACTAATACATTTACTAATACTGGGGGATTGGTGGTGTGCAGGGTGTTTTCCCAGCCTAGCCAAGGTGGGGGTGGGGTGGGGTGAAGCATACTCTCCCCTGCTAGCAGGCTAGAGGGAGGGCACCAAAAATGACACCTGTTAGCTCGGTCACCAGCGAGTTATGATCAGTTTGTACAAATGATAAAAGTCAGCACTTCAGTCTCCATATAAAGTCCCTATAGGTTCCTGCCTCTCCAGCAGCTGCTTTAATATTAGTAAATGGCTCTCCCTTGCTAATGGCCTATTTGCTTCTCAATCTGTTGCTTTTTCTCTGGATCTCATGGCGAATGGTTTGCATGGAAGCCCTTTAAGAGTGGAATCTCTGTCCCCTATAATTCTATGGTTTTCCTGGTCTCAAATCCCACTGATTTTCAAACATAGATGTTTTTGGAGATGGCCTTTCTGGTGTCAGCCCCTTGGGTGAGGGTCCTCACGTGAAGTTTAATCCTCTCACTCCTTGAGGAAGTGTCCTTCCTGCTTGTGGTTTAGCCACATCTGTCTGGGGCGAGGTCCCAGGCTGTGTCTCTGTTTCTCTTACTCTTCTCAATGAATATCTTTTGTCGTATAGGTGCTGCTCATGTAGTTCTCATATCATTTTCAAAGGAAAATTATTCCGTATGCAGCTGTAAATTTGTCTTGTCTGTGTAAGGAGGTAAATTTAGGATTTTCCTAAGCTGTCATCTTGAGCCCTCTTCTCTCATAAAAGTTTTATGGTTTTAATTATATCCAAAAGTTCATGACTACAAAATTTATATCTCCCTGTTTCCAACCATTCTCTGAACTTCAGATCCACATATTCGATTATACTTGGCATCTTCAGTTAGATGTCAAATTTGCATCTCAAACTGAACACACACAAAAGTGAGTTCCTGATCCCCTGTCACAAAATGCACTCCTATCCATGTTCCCCCATTTCAGTAAATGGCAGCTCCATTCTTTCAGTTAGCTGTTCAGGCCAGAAAATAGGATCAGAATTCACTCCTCTCTTTCTCTAATGTCCCTTATCCAATTTGAAAGTAAATCCACTTGGTTTTACCTTCAAAATATATCCTGAATGAATCACGTTTCTTTACTTCCATATTACCACAATGGATTAAGTCACCATTATCTCTTATCTGGATTATTGTACCAGTTTACTAATTTGACTACCTGTTTCCATTCTTCTTCTGCCCCAAATCTACATAGTTTATTTTCAAGGCAATCGGAGTCATTTTTTAAAAACCGAAATTAGATCATGTCACTGCTGTGCTCAAAATGTTCTAGTAGAGTTTTGCTTTTAAAAATGATGGAATAGTTTATTTGTAATCAATACTCTCACTGGGAAAGATTGTCAAAAATTTAAAAACAAACAAAAATTTATTCAAAATATCAGAGAGCTTCAAAAGCAGCAAGATGACTAAGATCCTGGAAAGAAGGGCAGCCCAGCATGGTGCCACTCTTCCCACAAGGCATTTGATGATTCTAAAGCAATGACTGAAAAATAAATAAATAACTAAAAATTAAAAAAAAAAAAGCAATGACTGCAGGGTACAAAAGTAAGCAGAGCTTCAGCCATTTCGTGGCGGTGGGGGTCGCGGTGGGGGCCGCGGTGGGGGTGTGGTGGGGAGAGGACAAAAAATACCTGGAGTTTAGGACTTATTAAGGAGGAGGAGTTGATAAATCCTCGAGACTTGCAGTTGGGACCCTAAAGGGCTACATCCTGGGAGCACTGGTAAAAGAAAAATAGATGGGCCCTCTCAAGAATTCACATTGTTTCAAAATGCAATAGTAAATCCCCTCTGGCAGAAAACATCATTCAGAATCACACATTATTTGTATCATATTTCATACACAATATCTG